CCGGCGCGCGTGTGCGGGGAGTTTGGAGCCCCCGACAGCCGTTCCCCGGGTGGCTGGAGGGGGACCTGCCCGGTGGGTGCCCCCCGGGAGGCTGTGCGTGCCCACCGTGCCATGCCGTGCATCCTTTGGGGTAACGTTTCATCGCTGCTCCCCTCTCCCAGGGCGCATGTGCAACGTCAACATCGACGAATGCTCCAGCAACCCCTGCCACAATGGGGGCACGTGCAAGGACGGCATCAACGGCTTCACCTGCCTCTGCCCCGAGGGCTTCCACGACCCCAAATGCCTGTCCGAAGTGAATGAGTGCAACAGCAACCCCTGCATCCACGGGAAATGCCACGACGGGCTGAATGGGTAGGCTGGAGGGCACGGGGGCTGCTGGGACCAAAGGGCCACCCAGCAAAGCCGAGATTAGAGGCAGGGCGAGCAGCCGTCCCTGGAGCCGGTGCTTGTCTGTGCTCTGCGCTAATCCCAGGGGATGTTTCCCTGCAGGGACACGACTAGGAGCCTGGGCTTTGGCTGGGTAAATGATGGCTGGTGGAGCTGGGAGGACTAGGTCGGACCAGATCCTGTGCTTTATGCTCCAATTTTTCCCCAAAGCTACAGGTGTGACTGCGACCCAGGCTGGAGCGGGACAAACTGCGACATTAACAATAACGAGTGTGAGTCCAATCCCTGCATGAACGGTGGGACCTGCAAGGACATGACCAGCGGCTACATCTGTACCTGCAGAGAGGGCTTCAGCGGTAAGAGTGCAGCCAGGGGGGCTGCGCCATCCCCCCCCCATGCTGGGGCCTGGGTAGGAGTTCTGGGTGGGGGTCTCCGTGACGCTGGACAGGCTGGAGGCTTCGCTGTGGAGACCCCAGGTCTGGGTGGGAGAGGTGGTGGTGTGGCCAGCCTGGGGACCCTCAGCAGAGTTGGAGCACCCGTGGCTGGAGCGGAGAGCTGGAGACTCTACCAGGGCGATGGGTGGGCCATTGCCATTGCCACCACATCCCCACCGTACCCGCAGCTCCCTCCCACCAGCATGCCTCCATCACAGCCATTTTTATCTCTTTTTCTTAACGCAGGACCCAACTGCCAGACCAATATCAACGAATGCGCTTCCAACCCCTGCCTGAACCAGGGCACGTGCATCGACGACGTCGCCGGCTACACCTGCCA